GACTATAGCTGGAGTGTGCAGTGAAAGAGTAGGGTGGCCTAAACTTTTCGTACTTTTAGCAAGCAAGTGGGGGGAAGGACAGGCCAACCAACCACCCTGAATACCTTGACTATAGCTGGAGTGTGCAGTGCATTAATGATCCCTGTGCTATTACGTATGTTAATCTACTTCAAAAAGGTAACAACATCATATTGTATGTACCTTACTGGTACTTTTTCCTCTGTCTGGCTTTTGTCTGTCTCTCAAGCTGTTGCCATGGGAGAGGGTAAGCAGAGACTGGTTGCCATGGAGAAGACTAGTGTCATCATCGTCAGATTGGCCAAAGTCATCGTCCAACCGGACGTCCAAATAACAGATGGAGGTCACCTGACTTGCAAAACCTATCAGGTGATAATCACATGATGTCCATTGGCACTTGAGAAAAGCTTCACTATCCTATTTAACCCTCTCAACACCAATCCTATTTAACCCTTCACAGCCCTATTTAACCCCCTCATCACTAATCTTATTTAACCCTCTCAACATCAATCCCATTTAACCCCTTCACAACCCTATTTAACCCTCTCAACACCTATCTTATTTAACCCCTTCACAACCCTATTTAACCCCCTCACCACCACTGCGCGACGTCCGTGTCACAAGTCTATAATTATGCATTTCTTTCAAGGCAGCTCTCAACTGGTCGAGATCAGAGAAATAGACCACGCCCTTCTGTGATGTCATCATCGAGGACGACGAACTGTTGAAGAATGACTGTTGCCGACGGCGACCACCGAGGGCCTGTGACAACCCTCTGCCTCGTCTTGTACTGCCACCAGGGAGCCTCACTCCACCTTCTTGCTGTAGTTCCTCCTCACTGTCACCTGTGACATCGTATTATGTACACACAGTATTATACCTAATACTCAAGCTGCCATAGTACTATAGACTAGGGACATTGTGGCATACACAGTATAAACAAGTATTGCATACAGTACATTGGTACATAGGACAATTCCAGAGACTCCTTCTACACACCTATACACGTGTACTAAATGTACTACATGTATGATAGGTACAGTACCAGCCTACACTAATACTTCCATAGTACTACTAGGGACATTGTGGCATACATAGGACAATTCCAGAGGCTCCTTCTACACACCTATATACACGTGTACTACATGTATGATGTGTATGTAGGTACAGTACCAGCCTACACTGATACTCAAAGAGCTGCCATAGTACTACTAGGGACATTGGTGGAATACACAGTATAAACAAGTATTGCATTGGTACATTGGTACATAGGACAATTCCAGAGGCTCCTTCTATACACCTATATATACGTGTACTAAATGTATGATGTGTATGTAGGTACAGTACCAGCCTACACTGATACTCAAAGAGCTGCCATAGTACTACTAGGGACATTGTGGCATATACAGTATAAATGAAAAGCACTGAAGTGCAAACCCTCGGCGCACTGTGACGCGCACGCGTAAGTAAACGCATGCGCCGTACCACTAATTGATGGGCTGGGTTTAATTTTAGCTGTTACTCGTGGTCTCTTGCCAGCTCACGCAGAGTCTGACGCGGGCTAACTACTCTACTAGCATGCGAGAGGCGATACACGCCCTGCGTTGCATCTTCTGGTGCCTCCGAAGTACGCAGAGCACGCGGATCGATCCGACTGTGGTAAGCCATCCCGTCCGTTGTGTATTTGCATATTGGCTTTTTCGCGCTCTAGCTTTGCAACGGAGCATTTTCAGAGAAAACCGCCTTTATTTTCTGACCTTCGTCGCCCGTTGGGTAGATGGTATCGTTTCTGGGACGAACAGACGTTCGAGGAGTGAGATATAGGCTAACAGACAGACCCAACTACAGTACCCTCGCTGCGCATGCGCGCCGAGGGTAACAAGTATTGTATACAGTACATTGGTACATAGGACAATTCCAGAGACTCCTTCTATACACCTATATACACGTGTACTACATATAAGTTAGATGCCGAGTCCAGGAAACTACGCGCATTAGAGAGCCGCGGGGGCCCCGGGCTGTCGGCGTTCGAGCGCAGCGAGGACGCTACTAAGGGCCCCCAAGGCGCTCTAATGCGCGTAGTTTCCATGGACGAGGCGTCTACCTTGTTTAGAGCTATGGCAACGCGTGCGCGCAATTCAAATTCGGTGCATCTGAAACCGCGAACGAGCGCTGCTTTCTCGCTGGGAAGTCAAGCGAGAGGCCCAGGGAGGACGTCGACAACGGGCTCGACTCTATACACCTTCGCAGACCGTTGGGGGACTCCGCCCAACGTAAGTGAGCCATTGCGCATGCGCCAAATTTAGAGTCCGGAGAAAGTTAATTTAGAGTCCGGAAAATTCGCTCTACTCGAATTAGAGTCCGCGCACGGACCAATCAGATTGCGCAATTTCAATTACCCAGCTCTAAATGTATGTAGGTACAGTACCAGCCTACACTAATACTCAAAGAGCTGCCATAGTACTACTAGGGACATTGGTGCCATACACAGCATAAACAAGTATTGTATTGGTACATAGACTCCTTCTATACACCTATATACACGTGTACTAAATGTATGATGTGTATGTAAGTACAGTACCAGCCTACACTAATACTCAAAGAGCTGCCATAGTACTACTAGGGACATTGGTGCCATACACAGCATAAACAAGTATTGTATTGGTACATAGACTCCTTCTATACACCTATATACACGTGTACTAAATGTATGATGTGTATGTAAGTACAGTACCAGCCTACACTAATACTCAAAGAGCTGCCATAGTACTACTAGGGACATTGTGGCATACACAGTATAAACAAGTATTGCATTGGTACATTGGTCCATAGGACAATTCCAGAGGCTCCTTCTACACACCTATATACACGTGTACGTGTACATATGCATATGGTACAGTAAAGGAAAGGGAGGTGTTTTTTTTGCCTGTTTCAGGGACAGTCGTAAGCAGCACTTGCCAGCCTACACAATTTTAGAATTCAGTTTCTCGTGGCTCGCAAACACAACAATTTGGCTCACGAACACTAAAATTTGGCTCACAAACACTAAAATTTGCTAGTTTTCTTTCTCACAAAAATTTCAACAGTATGCTCTTTCTATATTTATTTTCCCTCGGCACACAAATTAAGAAATCACACGTCATCTTAACTTCCTTCTCACCATCGTCACTTCTGTCCCCTTCCCCTCCCTCCTCCTCATCTTCCGCTTTGAAAATCCTCGTCTTGTAGACGGACGGATATCGTTTCTGGAACAGCTTGAGCAGTTGCTGGGCGGTGTAGCTCTGCGGGAGTCGGAGATGTGGAGCTTCATGGAAGTTACGTCGGTCGCGTCTCCGAAACTTGTCAGGAGGGAATGAAGTGGCGGTACGCCGAGCGATCCCGGATCCAGTATGGCCCGGTTGAACAGGCTCTGAAACTCGTTTTTCCGGTCTGCAACCGGTTTTACTCCCCGTTGCAAACCACCTGTATATTATACAACAGTAACATCGAGTAGTTGAATTACATATTCGTAAGTTTACAGGACACCTCAACAGTTGAAAATCTATTAGAGGTTTAATCAGACAATCACTCCATCATCAAGTTGTTATATAATGATCATGTGATCACCTCCAAAGTCATGTGACTCACCCGGCAACGACTCGGTGACAACTCCAGTAGTTTGAGAGCAGCTGCATAGTTACGGTGACAGAGAGCGTGTTGGAACGGAACGTTGCCATACGCATTTCTGCCACACATCTACATCCGTACGTACGTAACAAAAAAGGAGAGACAATAAATTAAAAGTTTTGAATGGAACTATAAGCAGAGCAAAAATAGACAATTAATTAACCCTTAGCAAGCCACGGACATATAAATATGTCCAGAGCCTCCATAAACGTATATGGGAGTATATACATTACACTCAATTTCTGCTTATTAAAGGAGATACCCATGGCGTCCAAGGGTTTTTTGGTGCATTTCCAAAAAATGACCCTCCTTGAAGAGTAATTTACTATCATTATACTATTTGTCTGTATTTCGACCTCTCTAACACCTTACCAGTCTGGTAATAACAGGTCTGACAGGTTTACAGGACAGGATTCTGTCCAGTATGTCCGGTCTTCTCCCAGTCAGCTCCTCGCCAACCCCTCCCCCCACCCCCACCTCCACAGCAGACATGGAGAATGTTACAATTGTCAACCCCAGTCTCTAGAAGAACAGCTGCGTTGTCAAACCCCGCCCCTTTCATCGGAGTGTTTTCCCGCCAATTCCGTGGTGGTAACCAGTTTCCCGCCAATTTCCGCGGTAAACTGCTGATGTCGAAGAGTCTTCTTGCTTCCCTGTCTCTTTCTCGTCTTTCGATTTCTCCTCTTTCTACGTGAGGTTCAGTAGATGGTCGTCTTTCTCTTTCTCGGAAGGTTTGCTCAGCTCGCTTCTCTCTCAATTTCAGCTCCTTTCGTCCCTCCAGCCCCACCTTTACCTCCATCTAAACTGTTTTACTAGACGGCGATTCACTCGTATCCATCGTCTCGGGTCCCGAACCAGTTTTCGTAACCGGTTTTGCAGCCACTCCGTCTCCTCTGTCGTTCGAAGGGGCACTAGTGGTGGAGGGGGACGATGAGCTGATTTGGGTACAGATCTCAGAGAGAATAGAAGCAACTGTTTCGATCGATCCATTTGTACGGCACAAGAGTAAGTTCTTCTCTGAGGGACTGTGGAAGAGAGAGAGTGAGAGAAAGATAAACATTGGCCAGAGAATTACAGCGAATGTCGAAATATGCAAGATTTTTGGATGTGCAATACATACACTCATGCAGCAGCAATTAAAAGCTACATACAAACATAGGTGCAGTAGCTGTGCCAATTGTAACTTAATCCAGTACCCAGACAGTCTTCTTTGGAAAGAAGAGCTGTCCTGGGTGTAGTGACAGGCTAGCTTTTCCTTGCCTCTCTACTCACTTTTGTATGTACGTACTATAACTTATTATTGCAGAATAATCATAATCTGCAACTTACGCACCTAGCACGAATACGGCAACTCGGTCCTCTCTTGCACTGCGTATTGCCTCACACTGACGCACCGGTAGCTCGTACCGGTCCTCTCGGTCTCCCAGTGTACCACACTCAGGGGGGGTGGGTGCGAGACCGAGACCCGATCCACAGCGGCACAAATCGTAACCACGCGTCGCGAACAAAAACAGGTCCGGATGATCGGCGTAGAGCCGGTACAAACTCGCAACTCGTGACACAAGATTTTGGAGCGGGACGGGACACAACCGTCCCGCACCGGTATCCACGGGCAACCTTATCGCGTTGGAAATGGCACGTGTTTGGTCGACGACGAGCGTTTTCCTCGACTCGATCCTTACGGCCATCGAAGACACACCTTTACCTTTTCTTGACGACCCTCTTGTCTTCCCCGAGTGAGACTCTTTACCGCTGGGTTTCACAGCGGTGCTTTCTTAGGGACACACTTCACTGACATCTCCCTCGGACCGTTTGAAACCGGTTGGACAAGTTTTGTACGGTCTGCACGAGTGATCTGTCGCCAGCGAGCACACTTTCACCGGAATTCACCGTTTCGTTCTTCGATCTCTTTCATTCACGACCGTCGATCGCTTCTTCATTCTTCTGGTGTCGTGGTTTACCTGACGCGGCGACAAACGAGGTGGTCCCAGGTATCCCCGGAAAACATTCGTCAAGTGGGCGGGCAGCATCCGAAGGGAAAGCGGCCCTGGCTGGTCAGAGATGCGCTCCACTAGAAGATTGCGATTGGGACCGGAATCAGTGCGTGAGCAGCCAGCGATTCGAAATCCCCTCACACTGTCCGTCGGAGACTGGGGTATAGCCTCCGGATTGGAAGAACAGATATTTCTGCCGGTCGCATTAGAGGAAGTGGACGAGAGATGGAGAGAGGATTGGAGAGAGATTCGAGCTAGACCAGACGGTCTGTGCTGCGACGACGCCGCGACGTGTGAGTTATAGACCGAGGAGGGTGTTTGGGGTTTGTACTAGAAGTTGAGGGTTCCCCCGCGTGAATATTAGACCCCCTACTCTGAAAATCCGGTCCCTCCTTCAATGACCCTTCGAGGTCGCTGGAGTCGGAAAAACAACCCCCCCCCCCCCCCGCAAAAAACCCACCCCCCCCCCCCCCTCCCACCCCCCCCCCCAACCCCAACAAAAAAAACCCCCCCCAAACCCCCCCCCCCCCAAAAAAACCCCCTTAAAACCCGCCCAACCCCACCAACAACAACCCAACCAACAACCCAACACCCCACCACACAAACCGCCCCCCCCCTCCCCCCCCCCCCCACCCCGTCCCCCCCCCCCCCCTCCAACCCCCCCTCAACCCCACCGCCTCCCCCCAACAACCCTTTTATCTTCTCTTTCCGAACTTCTTTTTCCTTCACCGAATATCTTTTCCGTCTTCATATAGCTACAATCACTAACAACTTGTGCTCCATCGACGGCGATCACACGGCGAGATCGACGGAGAATCGTCCAAAAACACGACGTCGCTCAATTCCACACCTCCAACCCGTGTAAATATTGGCCGACCCGTGTAAATTTTGACAGGCGAGCTCGAAATTTGACTGGCTGAGGAAGAGCTGCCGTTCGATACGCGGAAACCTGACAGGAACGGAGGTCTCGGATCGATTGAGCTTCTCTCCATACTGAAACAGATCTGGCCGACTTGCGGTCCGTGAGTGGAAGATCTCGTGAACACGATTGAATTTGGGACCACACGGGGGCCCGTTTTTCAGACGGACGAGGGAAACCGTCGGAAATTTGCCCCCGCCCCATGCCTGCTTGCGTTCCCTCTGAGGAGTTGGCGGTGAGGAGGGGGAGGGGTCCTCTTGGGTGAGGTGTTAAACCCCTGGAGAATTATAAAAAGTCATGTGATAATCACATGGACAGTCACATGCATTTGAGAGGTATTGAATACTATCATACAAGGCCACATAAAAGTGTCCTGATTAGTGAGGTGTCCTTGATCTCAGGAGAAGAAAGTGTCCCAATTAGTGAGGTGTCCTTATCTCAGAGAAAGTGTCCTGATTAGTTGAAGTGTCCTGATCTCAGAATAAAATGCCTCGATTAGTGAGGTGTCTGATTTCAGGAGAAAGCGTCCCGATAGTGAGGTGTCTGATCTCAGAAGAAAGTGGCCTGATGAGTGGTGTCCTGATCTCAGAATAAAATCCTCGATTAGTGAGGTGTCTGATTCAGGAGAAAGCGTCCGATAGTGAGGTGTCCTGATCTCAGAAGAAAGTGAGGGCCTGATTAGTGGTGTCCTGATCTCAGAAGAAGAGTGTCTTGATTAGTGAGGTGTCCTGACTCAGGGTTAAATCGTCAAATACCAAGATGAATGTTTTCTCACCACCAGGAAAACTCGTCCAGAGGAAGTGGTGGCTCAGTCAGAAAATTGGAAACGGTCAGTTTTGTATTTTGTCCCTTTCAGCTCCGATACTCTGTCGCCTGTGAGAAAGTGAGTTGATGAGGGATGGGGGAGGAGAGCCGGACAATCTGATAGGGATTAAAAAATCCACATATTCTCACGGCATGTGTCAAATTGCAATGTCATAGTATGTATTATCGCAATTTTTACGCATATTCTTACACAGTAAATACGTGTCAGAGAAAAGTCAGATTTTCAGTAGTAAAGCTTATGCAATGAGTTTTTCTTCTTTCGCTCTTTAGCAGTGTGCCGTGCAATTCTCATAAAGCTTACTCTAACTCTGAGTAAAGTGTCATAGAACGTTTGCCAGTTTCCGGATACGGTTGCTATGGTAGCCCGACATCGCTGGATTCAAGCACTGCTATGGCTTCGTCTGAGAGCCCCAGTTCTCGTTAAGTGGTGTGAGCTTACAGCGGGATTTCATCATCTTCACAAGACCAACTGCAACAGAAAACACTAGGAGTATTTAACGCTCTCTCCACTAAGCCCCACCTTTTAACACTTCCCCACTGAGACCCACAATTAACCCTCTCTCCACTGTGCACCACAATTTAACAGTCTAACACCACACAACCCCACTATTTAACCCTCTCTCACACAACCCCACTATTAACCCTCTCCCACTGAGTAAAGACGCAACCAACCTGTAGAGCAACTGGGACTCTTTGACACCAGAAGAAATCCGAATGGAGGGCAGCACGTCGCAGAATAGCGTCTTGTCACCCTGCGACAAAGAGAGAGGGATGTGGGGAGGAAAGAGAAAGAGAGGGAGCATGACAAGAGGAGAGACATAGAAGGGAAGAGGAGAAGGTATACATATAACGAAATGTAGGAGAAAACTCTACTTATATGGTAGAGAGGAAGCACACTCTTCTAAGGACACTCCTGAAAACGGAGCACCTCTCTATAAGGACACCTCTTTCTCTTTCCAAGGAACCGTTCTGCATGCAATTCAACCCCTAAAATAAAGACACCGCACTAATATGGACACTGTCTTCTGTCCATGGTGTATGGATTGAGGCGGGCTTTTGTAGAAGCAGTGAACAAACTCTCCGTTTGTTTCATTCGTGGGCCCACTGTAGGCAGCCGACGGCTAGGCACTGCTGAATGAACCGGTTTGTCGGGTTTGAACCGGTTCCGGGGAAGACCCTGACAACGAGGGAGCTATCCACACCCCTCCGCCGGAAGTCGTTCCAGGGGTTGATGCGATAGAGCCCGGCTGGCGGGGTAGTATGGTAGTAAACGAGCTTTCATTCCCTTTTCACTGCGTAATGACATATACTTACATAATATTACATACACAGAAAAAAAGTCAAATGTATGGCATGGATGGCAGGGTATCTATAATATTATTACATATTGTAAGTACACTACTGTACTAGTGACACATTTTGACATGCAGACATATTTTAAACTTGGTTTATGTCAAAAATTTTGTTTTTGGATTTTATAGCAGTGGAAAAACTCCTCTAATCCCGACACAGTGGGAAAGAAGAAAGTGCTCCGTATTAGGAAGGTGTCCTTACAATTCAGAGGTTGAAAGAAAAAATGGTCTTGGGAAAGAAAAGTGTCATTTAGTGAGGTGTTCTTATTACAGGGGGTTTGAAAGAAATGTTCTGGGAAAGGAAGTGTCCATATTAGTGAGGTGTCTTATTACGGGGTTTTTGAAAGAAATGTTCTTGTGGGAAAGAAAAGTGTACATTAGTGAGTGTCAGTATTCAGGGGTTTATTTACCATTATAGAGGAGAACCACGGATATACGTATGACTACTATACGTAGTGATTGGCATTATCATGTCACATGGACACATACTGTCTTGTGGTGCACCTGTCATATTATAGTAGGTGGAGGAAGGGCAACTGGGTCCAGCCGCGAAGGGGTGTCCCCGAACATGGTGGGCACCTCTCCCATGCTGTGCTAGGATAGTCGAACGAGAGAGCGAGGGGACGGAGCGAACGGCGTCGAGAGATCCAACATTGGACGGGCATGGACCGGGAGACAGGAGCCGATTAACAATATGCCCAACGTCTCCGTGGGCCTCTGAATAAGACAGCAGAACAGAAAACACAATGGCGCCCGATATACTGGCTGGTGAGCAGGGACTGCATGAACAGTTTGTTCTGGAAAGCGGAGCGGAGATATGGTATAAATGGGGCGTAGCCGGTAGACGAAATCATGGGGTAAAGTTACAGACCCAGATACGCTGTAGTGGCACTGGAGCAGAGCAGTATGGACAGAGAGACCCAGCGACGCACCGACGAGCGCGCGCGAGACGCGGCGGACCGCGCGCTGAGAGCGAGCGCCCGAGGCGCGAGAGAGACGGAGCGGCGGAGAGCCCACACAGGACGACCAGCGAAAGCGAGCCCGACTCTCGCTACGACTCCCTCCTCCCTCTCTCTCGCCCCTCCCTCCTCCTCCCTCTCTCTCTAAGTGTACACCCTGTCACTGGAGCTCGGAGATATAATTGCCACTCGACTTCCTCGCTCCTCTCTCCCGCCCTCCCTCCCTGCCCTCTGCTCCTCCACGCTCTCTCGAGCTCTCTCTATCTCCCTCCCTCACCTCTCTCTCGCTCGCCTAGAGGTACACCTACTGTATACCTGGAGCTCTGATATATTGCCACTCGAACTCTCGCTCCCTCCTCCTCGTCTCCTCCCTGCCCTCCATAGTCTCCCATCTCTCAGTTCAGACTCCCGCGGTCTGGCCGTACGCAGCATCACGCAACACCTGGAAACTTGGCTGGTCAGCTAGTCATGAAAGTGAGAAGTGGAAAATAAAAATTTAACCCTTTAGATGCCATAAAACATAAGCACATCCTAAATAGCGGTACGTACAGATTAGCACCTATATAGTTAGACAACAAGTATGTGAATCTACGCTCGTTAGAAGCCTGAGGATCCTTCCGGTCGGTTCTCAGGTAAGACTAAGTTTTGAGTCACGAAATCTGCTGGTCAGCATTTTTCATTGTTCTTAGCTCGTAACCCACGTTCATAACCTGTTTTTCTTATGGCATACTATGCATTGAGTAACCAATAGCAAATTTCGTGACTCAAACTTAGTCGCAACAAGGATCCTTCCAATTGATGCAGAGGTTGCATCATAGCACACTCGAAATTTCATCACCACATCGGTCACAAAATTTTACCTCTCCCCTCAAAATTTCCAAAAACAAATGGCCCGAAATTTCCAAAAAAATGGCCCGATAAGATATTACTTGTACCCTCATTGTCGTGGGCATCGTTCCTCCTACTAGCTGAAGACGTGACTGCCAGTCTACAAACTCGACCATCAGATAGTAGAAACACAATGTACCGTGAGTTTGATACAACCTGCAATAGTAATAGTAATGGCGTACACAATATATACAATATATTATATATACATAATTATGTATAATATAATATATTACTATATACTAAAAGGAATGTGGCAGTACTGCACTAAGGGCTAAACTTAGAAACTGTTGCTAAAAGCAGATACATAGCATTCTTGCTCTTCGGGGTCCATTGTTTAGTACATACACACATACATTAAGGGAATCATACAGTACTAAAGGATTAAATTTAGAAATGTTGTATACTAAAGATCGAACTATAAATAGGGCCTGGTGGATAATTTAGCCTGCCGAATTAACGGCTAAATTTATATGCCCGTACAAGAATGTAATTGATTTCTGTTAATAGTAACAGTTTCTATATTTAGCCATTACATAATGCTTAAACAGCATGTTCTAGTAGAGAAGTATACACCATAACCTGTTTCACTTGACTGGCTGGTAAGTCCGGGAGAGTGTGGACGCGATCCCTCCACTGGCTAAGAGGATGAGAAATAGGCGGAGCTTTCTGTTCGCGTCTCTCCGAGAGCCGAATCGAGCGAAGGAGTTTTGATTTCACTTTCGATGGAGAGTAGCTCTTCTTTAGGCTCACGGCCACCAGCCGCACGTTCTGGGAGGAAGTTGTTTCTGCCATCGTAGCTGTATAAAGACATTATGGGGAACCGAGAGTTTGGGGAACCGAGAGTATGGGGAACCGAGAGTATGGGGAACCGAGAGTATGGGGAACCGAGAGTATGGGGAACCGAGAGTTTGGGGAAAGAGAGGGAGAGGGAGGCAGAGGAAGAAGAAAGTGTCCATATTAGCGAGGTGTCCTTATTTCAGAGGTTGTTTGCATGCAAGAACTGTAGAATGGAGGTAAATATAGGAAATGACATATTTAACCACACAAATGAATTAACACGTTATAAAATGCTGGCTTGCTCTATATGCGCATCTTCTAACTCACCCGGCCACTCCGATTAGATTTTGGGTAGGGCGACCTACAAAACAATGTTCCAATTGACGCACCCCCAACGACGGCCAGCCAAAACAAGCGCTGAATTTGCGCGTTCCTCCAGATCACAGTAGCTTGCTGTCAGTTCACCGTACACACGATCTAGAACTTGGCACCTTCTGCTACTTGTCTACCACACCATTAGGCAACCTGGCGTCCTGCTTCTTCGGAAAGAGAAACGCCTACAAAAAAATCACAAAGACCACACACAGCACGTGCGCGCACAGAGATAGGAGGGGCGTGTCCAACATCATCAGACTATCACGTGACTATACGCCTCAACTTTTTACACGTCACAAATTTCGGGGACAAAGGGTTATTTTTCGTCGCCTGACACGTGTGTTCTTCTTCCCCAAAAGCTATCTAAAAGCTACAGTATTCGTCTCCAAGTAAAGCGAGCCGGGAGAAGAAGGGAAGAAGATGAAGGTGAAGGAGATAGCTCGAACTGCGAACGTTGCCTGGTCTCCTGCGACCATGCAAGACGTACACATCGCCTGTGGAACCGTCGCGCAGCAACTGGACGCCACATTCAGGTACATCCACTGCCACCAACAAACAACGTATCTGTTACATGTTGATGAGCGGTCGACCGTAATTTTTATTGCTAGTTTTATGTCGATGCTAAAATTTACTATTTTGTTGTTCAAAATTTCTTCCTCGTTCAGTACAAGCGCAAGGCTGGAAGTGTTTTCGCTGGATTTGGCGTCGTCTGGACTTGCCGTGCCACTGGCTGGAACTGTTGACTCACCTCTGAGGTCTCTTATCGTTACTGTATTGTGTCTCTAGTGCATACATAAATACACTATTTTTCTCTTTTTTCCCTTTTTTCTATCTGTCTTTTTGTTGTATATACCATCCAACTGAACATTAGCGAAAAGTTAATGCTTCCATCCATGAATCTTTTGAATCTTTTCACAAACAGTTACGCAATAGCAGTCGGTTCTATATAGAGCATGATGATTCACTTTCTCTGTTAACAGTATAATTATTCTCTGTGATGCTTTTTCACCCGTACATCGTACGTAATTTTTCTACCCCTAGGTTTCACAAGCTGGCCTGGTCGGCCCATGGTCAGGAAGGGGTTAACGCGTGTGGGGTCATAGCAGGTGGATCTGACAATGGAACTATCACCCTCTGGGCCGCCGACAAAATCATCGGGTCATTCTCTTCTCGTTCTATCCCCTCTTCCTCTCACTTTCTTTACACCGGCTTTGTTGGGTTGCTGTTGAAAACATGTTAACCTTGAAAATTTTCATAAGACATTCTGTACATAGCATTCCAAATTTGAATGAAACTTCTTTTTTTGTAGAATACAACGCCGCCTTTTAAATTTGTTAAGATCTACGTAGTAGCATCCTCAATTTTATATGGAACGTCATTTTTGTATAAGATAAACCTCCCTTCAAATTAATTAGTGAAAATCTACTTTCCAACATCACTAACTGATGTAGAACTTGTATGATGCCTATGTATATAGGTTATCTGCGTATTCACCATTTTATTAGAATTTTATTTACTTCTTTCACACAGTGATACAGAAGGGGCCCAGTTGAAACAAATGATCCACCATACCGGTCCGGTCCGAACCATCGACTTTAACCCTTTCCAGCCCAATCTCCTCGCCTCCGGAGGCAACGACTCCGAAATATTCATCTGGGACTTGAACAATCCCGACAGCCCCATGTCGCCCGGCAACAAGCTCCACCCACTGGAAGACATTAGTGGCGTAGCCTGGAACAGACAGGTGAGCGCTTTTCTATATTTAGCAACACTTCTATATTTAGTTGCCAAGTGGATGACATCGTGTTTATTTTTAGGTACAACACATAATTGCGTCTACTTCTCCCAGCGGAAAATCTGTCTTATGGGACTTGAGAAAAAACGAGCCAATCATTCAGGTAATTTTTACAGACAATCAATACAATTTATGTTGTTGTTATTTTTGCAAGCTGCATATTTTTTAGGTTTGATCCCAAAATTTACGTTTGTGTTCTGTAATTTTTGAAGGTGGCAGATCCGAATGCCAGGGTCCACTGCAATGCCATTAGCTGGCATCCAGACGTTGCTACTCAGATGGTTACTGCTTCTGGAGACGATCGCAGCCCTGTCGTCCAGGTAGTAATATTGAAATTTGAACGAGAAAACGAAGTCTTGCACAGATTTCTCAGTTTGAAGGGAACGTAATGCGTGGGGCACTGTAGAGCCTGCAGTGAAAGTCTTATTGCTGGAACACCAATGGGACAGAAGAAAGTGTCCATATTAGAGAGGTGTCCTCATTTCAGGGGTTGAATTGCATGCAAGAACTGTTCTTGGGGGAAGAAAAGGTGTCCTTATTAGAGAAGTGTCCTCATTTCAGGAGTGTCCTTACTCATTAGAGAGGGGTTCCAGTGTATTCATTTTCCCTCCTCTTCCCTCTCCTCCACGAAGCTCTGGGACCTGAGGTTTGCCACCTCGCCAATGAGAACTCTGGAGCGACACAAGAAAGGGATCCTCTCCCTCGCCTGGTGCCCGCAGGACTCTGACCTCTTGCTCACCGCAGCAAAAGACAACCTCGTCTTGTGTTGGAATCCTAACAGCGACATCCCTGGAGGAGAAGTAATGGTTTCTATACTATAGCTGTATATAGCACTTCTTTCTCATTGCACGCCTCTCTAGTTTAAAATGGTTTGCATTTCTTCAATAATAATACAACAATGTTCTCTTTTCTGTCCTCCCCTTTATTCTGCCATCTGCAGGTGGTGTACGAGCTACCGGCCACCTCTCAGTGGATATTTGAGGTTCACTGGTGTCCCAGAAACCCCTCCATGATCAGCACCGCCTCGTTCGATGGTCATGTGACCATGTACTCCCTGTTAGGGGGCGGGGTTTCCGCTCATGAGGAACCTGCTGAACAGGTAAGGTGATAATATTATAAGTGCCCCACTCTCCCCCAATGTACTTGAAGATTAGGCTACTCGTTTTTGTTTTTGCACTGCACACTCCAGCTATAGTGAAGGTATTCAGGATTGTTGGTTGGCCTGTCCTTCCCCCCACTTGCTTGCTAAAAGTACGAACAATTTAGGCCACCCTATTCTTTCACTGCACACTCCAGCTATAGTCAAGGTATTCAGGATGGTTGGTTGGTCTGTCCTTCCCTCCACTTGCTTGCTAAAAGTACAAACAATTTAGGCCACCCTATTCTTTCACTGCACACTCCAGCTATAGTCAAGGTATTCAGGATGGTTGGTTGGTCTGTCCTTCCCTCCACTTGCTTGCTAAAAGTACAAACAATTTAGGCCACCCTATTCTTTCACTGCACACTCCAGCTATAGTCAAGGTATTCAGGATGGTTGGTTGGTCTGTCCTTCCCTCCACTTGCTTGCTAAAAGTACAAACAATTTAGGCCACCCTATTCTTTCACTGCACACTCCAGCTATAGTCAAGGTATTCAGGATGGTTGGTTGGTCTGTCCTTCCCTCCACTTGCTTGCTAAAAGTACAAACAATTTAGGCCACCCTATTCTTTCACTGCACACTCCAGCTATAGTCAAGGTATTCAGGATGGTTGGTTGGTCTGTCCTTCCCTCCACTTGCTTGCTAAAAGTACAAACAATTTAGGCCACCCTATTCTTTCACTGCACACTCCAGCTATAGTCAAGGTATTCAGGATGGTTGGTTGGTCTGTCCTTCCCTCCACTTGCTTGCTAAAAGTACAAACAATTTAGGCCACCCTATTCTTTCACTGCACACTCCAGCTATAGTCAAGGTATTCAGGATGGTTGGTTGGTCTGTCCTTCCCTCCACTTGCTTGCTAAAAGTACGAAAAGTTTAGGCCACCCTATTTTTATCACAATACTGAAAAAACTACTCTACTAACTCTCTAGCCACTTCAACAATCAGACGATCCATTTGCAAACCTTGCACCAAAGCCTCGACAACAACCTGTCGAAACCACACCCCTCAAGAAGCCACCCAAGTGGTTCCGCAGACCTTGCGGAGCCAGATTCTCCGTGAGTTGAGAAATTTTTGAATTCTAAACCAATAAGAAATATTTTGCAGTTTGGTGGAAAACTGGTGTCATTTCGTCACGACAATTCTCGCTCCGTACGTGTCAGTCAGGTGAGTCATGTGACATCATGTGATCTATCACATGACCTCATGTGATGTACTGGCTACAGGTGGTGACTGAAGAAGCTCTATTAGAACGTTCCTCGTCCTTGAAACGGCCGTCTCTGAACAAGATTTCTCAAACTTTTGTTCCGAGAAAGCCTCTCGTTCAACCGATACTTCGGAACAGAACATCTGGAACTTTCTAAAGGTGCAGTATATACAAAAACTTACCAATTACATTAAATTTCCATGATGAATTTTTTCTTAGGTGACCTTTGAACCTGACACCCGCAGGCAGTATCTCCGTCTCCTTGGTTACGACACGGAGGAACTAGATCAAAAGGTGCCGGTTTGGACCTAATTCACAAAACTAAGTCCTTGATTGTGTCGTTTGCAGCTGTCGAGATTTCGGTCGGGCGCCATAGCGACAGGATCGGGGCCGGGGCCAATTGATCCCAGTGACCTTTCTCAGCGTCTCTCGTCTCTTCCTCTGGAAGGAGAGGGGGAGGAGGAGGGGGAGAGTGCGCCTATATTTGGAGCTTCAGAAGGTTTGCTGCTAATACAGTGGAACTCCTAATCCAGACACCAATGGGACAGAAGAAAGTGTCCATATTAGTGAGGTCTTATTTCAGGGGTTATTCTACTCATGTAGAGAAGCTCTGTAGCTTCACTCTTGAATCAAAACTCTCTCCACAGATGATACTGGAGGAGATGGTGTGTTTGACAACATCACCAACCAAACTCAGCCCCATAAACCAACCTCTTCTCCCAAGAAGCCTCTTTCAATTGTCACCACTGATGGTAGGGTAACAATCAATTTCCACCATGAACTAAATCAATGTTTTGATCGTTTGTTGTTTTGTTGACAGATGTCGATGGAGCTCTATCGAAGGCTTTGCTGGTCGGGAATTTCGAGGCTGCCGTTGATATTTGCATTGGACATGGACGAATGGCAAGTTGCACATGTGTTGCATTTTCTATTTTCATGTTTTCACGGACCAAGAAGTTCGGTTTTAGTAACATTTCTTAATTTAGCCCTTACATTATACTGCCTCTTCTTTTGGCCTATATCTTTATTTCAAGTTCCCACCTTTCACTCCTCTCTCCCCTCCCTCTCTTCCCTCTCTTCCCTCCCTCCCCCTCTAGGCTGAAGCTATGGTTCTGGCCATCGCTGGAGGTGCAGATCTCCTCCAAAAGACACAACAAACCCTCTTCCAACAGCAAGAAACACAAATCAGTCGCGTAAGAATTTTCACTCTCAAAATTTGTACGATAGAGCACTCTCAAAATTAATTTTGTATCAAAATTTGTAGCTCCGAACGCTCTAAACATTTGTATGATAGAATTTCATTAGTTTATGTGGAAGAGTGTTTTTCTTGTTTTTCAGTTGATGTCAGCCATTGTCAATCGGGACTGGACACAGCTGGTGCGAGTCTGTTGCCTTGACAATTGGCGAGAAGTTTTGGCCGCTCTCGTCACTTACGCTGGTCCCGATGAGTTCTCTTCCCTCTGCGGTAAGCATGCAACTGCCATTTCAATTGCCAGATATCACGTGCACGCACAAGAGACAATACATGCATAGCGGGTGGCAACTTTTAGAGACTAAAGTCTCTTCAAGGCACTACACTGTGTTTACAGTTAAACCTTTGGAGCTATGGAATCTTTTGCCTAGTACGAAGTAATCACACAAATCATGTTGCATCTACAATACACCAAAAGTTCATGAAAGTTCAGAATTTTTAACAGGTAATGTTATTCCAGGAAAGGCGCGATTTACTTCACATTTTTCTTGTTCGAAGTGGTGTGGGGAGAGGTTGGGTAGGTGTGGTGGTGTGTTGTCCCCTAACTCACTATCTTTGATGGTTTAGAGTATGAGCTAACCGCATGTCTGCCACAGATGTTTGGTATGAGCTAATGAGCAACCGAGCTCCGCCACCAATGGTTTAGAGTATGAGCTACCGATGCTGCAACCAGATGGTTTAGCGTATGAGCTACTGGTGCTGCCACTATAAGTTTGTAGTCAGCCTGCAGAATGGGCCTGTGAGTGTGGCAGCATATCAGACTTGGTTTTGGAGGTGGCCGCATATTAACTGGTGGAAATGGCAGCATATCAACTGGTGTAGGTGGCCGCATATTCACTGGTGAGAGCGGCATACTCAAAGAACGTATCAACTGAATCAAAGTCATCCATGCACCAGCGTACAGAAATAGACAGGACACGATGAGACATTCCCCTGGGCAGTCAGAACCAGGGTATCATCTCCCCTGAGCAGGAATGCCAGCAGTCGGAGGAAGGAAGGGAGGCAAAAGCGCAGTCCATTAACTGGTGGAGGTGAGCGGCATATACTGGTTGAGGTGGCCGCATATTAACTGGTGGAAATAGCGGCATATCAACTGGTGTAGGTGGCCGCATATTAACTGGTGGAAAGAGCGGCATATCAACTGGTGTAGGTGGCCGCATATTAACTGGTGGATGTGGAGCATAGCATCACTGGGTAGGTGGCCGCATATTAACTGGTGGAAATAGCGGCATATCAACTGGTTGAGGTGGCCGCATATTAACTGGTGGATGTGGCAGCATATCAACTGGTTGAGGTGGCCGCATATTAACTGGTGGATGTGGCAGTGCTGGTTGTACCAGCCTATTATGAGCTGGTGCCAACACACAAGGTTGTAATGGTGCCGGGTAATCTTGGGACACATTACTGGTAAAGGTAACCGTAAAGTATCCCTCATACTAGCTGAAACTTGCTGTGTATTAGCTGGTAGTGGCTTAGCCCCCATACTAGCTGAAACCTTCCCCATACCAGGTGGTGATACAGTTGGTTTAGGCTGGCTACGACTTCGTCCTAATCCTCCAATCGATGCACCTTCCGTTCCTTGGTATGGTGCTTCCATCAACTTTTGTTGCTTCTGTGTTAGTAATTGAACTAATTGTGACCGTTGTGGATCTTGCATATCAGGCTTACACCTCATTGACCCCATCTAACGGCCTTTTTGTTTTTTGTTTCCTCATTTTTTTCAGGCCAGATACCACTCCTTAGTGATACTCCAATTGGTCCACCTTTGTCTTTTTGGTATCTTTTATGACCCCGTATTGGCTCTCCTTCCCCACTTGGTATTGAATCCCATATTGCCTCCCTTAGTTGGGGCGCCTTTGTATGACCCCATGGTGGCATACATTCCTCTTCTCTGTTGAGTATATTTGTTGGGTTAATCAGTGTAGCAGATAGTGGTATTGCATCCACTACTTCATCATATGGTTCACCAGGTTCATCTTTTCCAAATGAAGCCACTACTGCTACTTCCTTTTCAAGCTCCCTCTGAGCTACAGATAGCTCCGTTTCTATCGCCTGATTAACCCTCTCCCCACACTTTACCACCAGTTCTGGTAGCTCTGGCAGTGGGAACTTCCTATCAGCATCGCTATAAAGCTCGCCCACCCTCTCCACCTGATCGGACACTTGCTTCTTCAGACTCAGTATTTCTTGATCGGTTTCTGTTTCAAGACTACGACTCATAAACTCTTGCAGGCTCACCAGCTCCCCCACCGCAAGTTGAGCATTCTTCTCCTGGGCAGCTATTTTTTCTTCTGCCTCGCCCACGATGCGACTTGCTTTTTCTTTCATTTCCCTCCGTTTCTCTGCCAATTTTGCGACAATTTCATCGATCGCTTGGTCGATAGCTCTTGTAGTCGCAATTCCATGGTCTGAGAGCTTTTTCCTTGATTCGCCCAGCGATATCACGGCCAATTTTACACCTTCTGTTATCTTCTTTACCGATTCCGATTTTTCTTGTATTTCCGCCTTGCACAGTGGAGCAGCATCGATAACAAACGCATACTCGTGGTCTTTGTGGTCGATAACAATACAATCGCGACAAACCAACTTGCTGCAGTCGTGGCAATATAACTTTAGCGGTTCGTCCTTGTGCTTGCTGCATTTTACCTCGCGGGAAAATACTTGAAGCTTTTCAGGCGGGTTCTTACTAATCGTCGAGCGGAGTGAATCGATGGAAACGACACTGTGTGAAGAGAGTAACCACATTTGCCTGTGGGCTTTAGCGCAGTCGGTGCAGATGTACTTGCTGCAGTCGTGACAAAAATCCGCGGCAGGTAGCTGCGAACGGCAGCTCTCGCACGTGACGCTGTCTTTCCGCTCCGCCTTTTTCATTACCGAAAACAGCTCTTCCATCCGATTCACGAAAAATGCCGTCGGTAGATTATCCGGGTTGTCTTCCTCGGCGTTGGTCTCGCGGCGACATTCGGGACAGGTGAACGGGCGGCCCTTCGCGCGTTTTATGAGGTCCGCGATGCACGTCTTACAGTAGAAATGGAGGCACGGTAGGACCTTGGGCTCCGTGAAGTGGTCTGAACATACTGGACACGTTAGCTCGTCGTCTAGTTTCTGAAGACTGCCGAGAAACGGGTCCTCACTTTTCCGTTGATCCGCCATTGTTCTCTCCTCTCAGCTCATGGATCGAAAAGGGTGGAGCCGAAGTATATAATATACGGGCGCACGCGCGCGCGCATGCGTGCGAGCGCCGCGATTTGTACGCATGCGCGTGGAGCTCACGCGCGCTAATTCTATGAATCCTGTTATAAAACCACAACTGCGTCGCCGTACTGTACCGTTATAAGGTGGCCCCTCTGGGGCGCAAAACGTTCGTAGAGCACCGCAGGAATGCGCTTCCTGCGCGTGGGTTCGAATCTTGCCTAATTTGCCTTCTTATTTTTTGGAAGGTGAGAGATCACCTGGCACGTAAAACAAAAAAAATCTAACACTTGTGTTACTTTCTTTTTTTCTTCTTTTTTGCAACCCTGTTTCCTCTGCAAACAATGGTGTTGTGTACACTTTTGCTGGTTGGGTTGTTTGCCTTCACGATACTGATTGCCTGGTGCCCCTAGATTTGCTGGGAGAGAGACTGGAGTGCGAGGACGAAGGTCGTTACCGTGACAATGCCAACCTCTGCTACATCTGCTCCGGGAACGTTGACAAATTCGTGGAATGCTGGTTTGTCACCACACCCCCTTGCATCTCTCCTTTCTCTTCCTCCCTCACCAATTTTCTCTTTTTCTCCCTCTCTCTTCTTCCTGCTTCTTTCTGTCATTCTCTCTCCAACTTCTATACATTATTCCCCTTTTCCCTTTTTTTTCGTTTTCCCTCCCTCAACCCCAAAGGAACAAGACGGCACGAGGTTCCCAAGTGAGTGCAGTGGCACTACAAGATCTGATGGAAAAGGTGGTGCTCCTCAAAAGAGCAGTGGAGAGAGAGAGGAAGCAACTGTCTTCGACTACCAGCTCTGTTGTTGCAGAAAAATTCAGGTAGTCTTATCTTCGTCTGTTTATTCCCTTGGCACACCTTCCACTGCTTTTTGGCTCAATTTTTTCATCTGCCACTCTTTTTTTGTTCTCTGTGTGTCCGTTCAACGCGATTCAATTTTTTTTTCATTCGTTCACTTTTTTAGGGCCTATGCTGGGATATTGGCATCACAAGGCTCTCTGGCTACCGCACTGCGCTACCTGGAGTTGAGCGGGACGAGTGTAAGACATTTCTGAGTGTTTTTCTAATGCCACGTCAGTAGAGTTACTTCGTCCTGAATTATACAACATTACATCATCACCAATATCTTCATCATCATGGAAGCGCACATTTG